TAACTCCTCTTAGTAGAGCCTCTTTAGTTAACCTCACTTAAATGCCCTTTAAGTAAATAAAGATGCTCTTCTTAGTGGGGGCTACTAATACGTTTTAGTAGTTCATCTATCCTCTACCAAGGTACACGTCCTTACTAGAGGACAAATTTATTACATATGCGTAGGCAGTCTCTTTGTACCTATACATCTTAAACAAGAATTAGACAACCTTATTAATCTCTAATAGCTTGCTATTCACCCCCTTAATTATTTAAGCAGGTATTTAAAAGCGCTCTAGATAGTAGTGGTAAGCGAATCTCTTGCTAATTAGTGTATAGCATAGGCATCTGTAGTTAATAAGCGCAATAGCGTTTACTACGTTGTTTATAATAAGATCTACAGTAATTAGTAGAGGACGCATATGCTTCTGCTAAAACTAATTCTATTCGCTACGTATCTGCCAATCTATCTTTAGAGGCTCTAGACCAAGACTCTAGTCTAGAGCTACTCTTTTTCCAATTCGCTACTTAGCACCTAATCGACTTCCTCCTGCAGCTTATGTCCAACGTTGCTTGGCGCAGGCCTTGCCTTCTTAACCTAGGTGGCGTTTTAACAGTATTTCGCGATATGACCTAGCTCTCCGCAGCGATAGCAGTTAGGCGGAGGTCGTTGTAGCTTGCCTCTAGCCTCTTGCGCCTAATTAACCTTTGAAGGCTCTTAGTCTATAACGTCTAGACTAGCTTCGTGTTAAGCGGTTGTTGTAGTAGGGCGATCTACTACCTAGGAGCTCGTTGCGCGCAGTTTAACGAGACCTACCTAGTAGAGGTTGTTAGACGTTCTTACTACCTTATTGACTAGCTGCTCGTACGATAGATTCTCATTAATTGTAGCAAGAGCCTCCTGCAGCTTAGTGTAAAGGCCCTTTAAGAACATACTCTTCTTAGCTGCTTCGCCAAACTGCTCGCCTAACTAAATCTTAAGATAGTTAAACTCTATGTAATAGTCTCTTACTAAGAGCTTGCCTTATTTAAGAGTTAAAAGGCGATCAAGTGCTTTGGACTTCTAGTGTAGGTCGTTAAACTGCTGGTCCATAAAGCTCCAGAGGTCTTCAATGTGGCGTTTACTCTAGTTCTGTATTGCCTAGGGTAGAAGTACATCCGCTGCCTTGCCCGTACACCTACTAAGCACGTACTTAATCTAAGCGAGGCTCGAAGTTCCTTTGTACTCGTGCTAGAGCTTAGCTTAAGTCTTGTATTTAAACGCTACGTACTTCGTTCGATCTCTATTAAATGGTTCTAGGTGCGGGAACTTATTCCTACGCGCAGCTAGCTTAGCAATTGTAGCTGCTGCTAGGGGAGGCGTAAAGGCTCTATAGGACGACTCTAAACGCCCCTCAGCTTGGTTACGCTCAAGTGCCACGAGCCGTTCCGTTAGCACCTGGTTCTAGGCTGTTAACCAATTCATCAGCTCCATCATCTAGGCCATGGCATCCTGGTTGGCCTTCGGCGAGCCTCCTTGCCTTAGTGAGCCTTTTCCTCCTACAACGGCCGATCGTTTAGCGACCGCTTTAATCATTGGCCTAATTGCTGCCTCCTTCTATCTGTCCTCTCTAAGCATTTGTGTAATTTCGCGCAGGATCTCTTCATCTAATACTCCTACCTAGTTCTTAGCAGCAGCGTACGCCGCCAGCTCTTCCACATTTAAGTTTGGAACGTTAATCTCCATTGCCTAATTCGTTTTAGACGTCTCGTTCTTTGCCTGCTAATATGCAGGGCTTCCAGTCGCTCTTCGATCCGCTCGCGCAGTCCTAGACTGCGGCCTACTCCTTGTTAGTGAGGACTAGTAGGGCTTACCTTCGGCTGTCCTTGTTACTAGCTAGAATCTAAACAGCGTTCTGTCGCTGTTGTGTCGCGTCCCTAGGAAGACTCGCGTCTTGCCGTCTCGCTCGTGGGATCTCGTCTCCTATTGAGAGTAATCGCACGGCCTGCACCTCGTCCAATAGAGGGTTGACAGGACTTCTTACTACAACGTCCGCTTCTAGCTAACTATACACTAGGCCTAAGTGGCCTTTAGGTAGTTTATTACGCGACGTTGTGCCTATAGCTCAGCTTTCTAAGACACAATAGGACTTCCTAGATAGGTCCTAGGCGACTAATTCGCCTACTATCTCTCACGGCTAAACTTCCTGCGAAGCTCTGCCCTAGGTGTACTATCTTGCGATAGTCTACCTTCTTGCTACACTAAAGGCCTTTTGTACCTATTGCAGCACTAACTCTATATTACTAGCTTACACTAACAACACGCTCTAAAACTTAGTTAGAAGATAGTCCGCCTAAGGCTTATGTCTAATTAGGATTAAATACAAAATGTAAGAGGCTGCGCTCTAGGGAGCATTTACGAGGTATATAAGAGGTTGTATTTAATAAGGAGCTATCTACTCTGCTTACGTGGTGTTTATTTACTTATTAGAGAAAGGTTATGCTAGAGTATCTAAGCGCGTTGTCTGAGCGCTGCTCGGTCTGAACGTAGTTCAGATGGTGCGCGCGCAGCTTGGCCCGAGATTCCATCGAGGAGCTATCCAAAGGGCGTTCAGCCCGTTACAAGGTTAATAATAAGCTTCTCCACGTTAAGATTAATAAACTTTGTGGTAAAATCGCTACTAAAAAATAGAGGCTAAAGCATAATAGAGTTCTTAACCTTTAACAACACTAAAAGTACTAAAGTCTGGCGGTAGTGTAGAGCCCTTAGGCGGTACAGGAAGCTTAAGCGCGTTAGGCTGTACAACACTAAGAAGAAGAGGTAGAAAAACTCTAAAAAAAAGAGAAAAGAGATGCGAGAAGCTACTACCTAGTATAAAAATAAATAGCTATAGAGGCAAAATAGGCACAGAAAATTGCAAAAGTTGCCCGCGAGAAGGAATAGGAGGCTAAGGCTGCATAACTTGCTACTGCGCGCGCCTAAAAAGAATAAGATTGGCTTACTGCAACAACAAAAAAATCTTGCGATAAGCAAAGTACACCTAAATGAAAAGCTTTATCGTCGCAGAATACAAAAACAGCAAAACGTCGTCGTGTGGTGGGCTGCGAGAGTGGTGATGGAGTTACACCGCCGCCCGCCAAGCCCTCCACCAAAACCACCACCCGCGGCCGCAATATAAAGTCACCAGCGAAATATATATAGACGGAAATATATATTACTACTTGCTTAATACTCCACCAGAAAATCTCGTGATAATAGCTTTTGTATGGGGCTCTATAGCCTCATCTTTAGTGGAGCACCAATTTTGGTGGGGTGTTGCATCCGCTGAACAGTTGCACGCACTGACCACCTACAGTACCCCTTGTCCTTCGCGAAAAACTAGAAAATTATAGTAGGGCACAGTGTCATTCTTGGGACTTTAGCTTTACAGCCTATTATAGGACCTATTGAACTGTTAAGAGGCTAACATAGAGGAACTGCTGTAACGTAACATGGTAGGTTGTGCCACATGCAGGAAAAGGCTACCATACACCTAGTGCGATAGGGTGGCTGCGGAGAGGCCTACCAATGTGTATATTGCAGACAGCCTTTTGGCATCTACAGGGTATACATACAGCTACCTACCCAGTAGTGCAATGCACCCGATGCTCCGGCACCGGCACACTCTTCCCCGTCATGTAGCGCAATGCCCCCGCCCCGAGTCGCCATTTCTCGTAAACTCTAAATACTTGAACCCGCAAATTTGCATGCAACTCGTTCTCGTCCCGTTGCCCTGCTTTGTGCATAACATAATGAGCAACTGCGTAGGTACTGGTGACTAAGTTGTGAGTTTGGCCATTTGACCACACATGCGGAAAATGCCCTGACTGCAAGAAACCACTCATAAAATTTCTCATGCGCATACGAAGCTGCCTAATGTAGTTTTCGTGACTTGTACAATTTGACGTGGGAGGAGTTAAATTATGAAGGAGGCGTCTGTCAGTGAGTAGAGACAAGACGGCGGCGACCCAGCTTGCGCTCCCGTCAGTGTATGAGGGGAGAGGATTGGATGGCCGGCCAGGTAGAGAATGCTCATGGAGGCTCGTACGCTATCGGATAGGTTGAAGCGCACGATTCGTGTTTCCAGCCGCTTTTCACCTTGTATCAGCCACATAGTTGTCTTCCTTTGGCGTGGCGCCCCCTGCACACATGCACAGCCAATGGGCACATGGCAGTTGCTCAACTCGATCATGGCGCTGGACAGAGTAGCCCTTTTACGTACATGATAGACAAAACTGCGCAATAAGCTTCACCCAAGCTTTTGCAAGGGTGAGGCCTATTCTGTATGTATTTCATTCTCTAAAGCTCAGGGTCAATCATTGGGGCATCTTCTGTATCCTATTCCGAAGACAGCTTTGTGCACAAGCTTAAGTAGCCATGCCCTGGCTGAGGTGTCGCTTGTGTACTTACTCCTCACATTCCCCCTCCCATATCTTGCATGCAAATTGCAGGGCCTCGCAAGTCCAACTTGGCGCAAGAGGTCTCAGTGCCACGGCACCATTTCTCGCATCGCAAACTCAATTTTAGAGGCCGTGTGTGGCATGTCCAGGCAGGTCGGAGAACGCCCAGTTCGCTTGTAGACTATACAAGTAGCATGATTCATTCATGAGCCATGGCGTGACCATCGACTCCTGCACCAGGGGTGAGTGAGGTACTTATTTGTGCTCGAGCGATTCTGACTCGATGCGGGGCGTGCTTAAGTAGGTGCGCGTCTTCCCCGCCACAGGGCCACATAATACTCTCGGGTGAACGCGATGCGTACCCCTTCACCATTCGATGGCGTTGGCGTCATCTAGATGCATGCCCCTGCCAACAAATGCGCCACAATTGCAGAGCTCACAAGGTTCTAAGAATCCCCCTCCCCAAAAGTAACAAAGACGCAGATTGACCTAAACCTCAAACCCAGACTCAAAATCTGCCCTATATATGGCTAAACGAGCATGGCACCAGCTCAAACCCATCCTCTTTTCCTCTACTTACTTTACTTGATTCTACTGCACCAAGTATGGCTGTCCTTCGAGCCCCACCTCCTAGCGACTCGATTGCGCCAAGACTTCTTATCCCTGTTGGCATTATCCTGGGAATCGGCCTCATTATCTACGTCGCCCGAATGTACTCACGTATACAAATGAATCGTAAACTCGACAGAGACGACTATGCTATTACCATGGCAGAGGTATCGCAATTCTCTCCATTGGGTGTCGTTCCATGCTAACCGCTACATGTGCAGATTTGCTCCATTGTCGGCTAACTACGCTATTGTAGCAGTCTCGTGTAAATATGGGTTTGGTCGCCACACAATCTACGTCTCTTCAAAAGACCGTTCCACGGCCTTATTCTACTTCTTTTTGCAGACGATTCTATGGTATTGGGGAATGGCCGCCATGAAAATCTCTGTGGCGTTCCTTTTACTTCGCATGCAATACTCCACTACGTGGAAGCGCATTCTTTGGACCATGATATCATTTCAAGTCTTGGTAGCCACCTTTGCGGCTATATGGGCGTTCACATTCTGCATCCCAACCCGCTCTCTATGGGAAAGCGTCCCTACTGCCAAGTGCGGGTCAACGTATGCATCACACGTATTTGGCTACGTATACACATGTAAGAGGTCCAGCCTAGGAATATAACATAGCGAGCGCACTAACGCTGGTTACTCAGCGATTAGCATGACAAGCGATCTATTCTTATCCCTTATGCCGCTCACATTCATTTGGCATCTGCGCAGGCCCCGACTCGAAAAGGTCGTGGTTGGCATGCTCATGTGCCTTGGCCTCACTGCCACAACTGCTGCAACCAAAAGACTGGTGGACATGGCTTACCAAAACTTTTCCGGCGATGTGCTCCATGATTTGCCTATCCCAAACATGTGGTGTATGCTCGAAGAAGTTATTGGTGTCGCAGCCGTCTCGATACCATACCTCAAAGCTCCGATGGAACGGACGCTGGAACGCCTGGGGCTCCTTCTTGTCTTGAATAACCACCAATCATCTCTTAGTGATGTGTCATGTCCCCCGGATTGCATTGGTGGCGTTGAGGAAGCTTTAGTGTCTGGTGATGCAGTGAGCAACGTTGGGTCTTCTAAGCATGGGAAGGCGGAGTTTGAGTTGACTCAGACTCCTCAAGTGGCGAGCGGATCTCAATGATCGCAGGGCACATTTGTAGAATAGGAAATTATATGGGAAGAAGCATTTACTAGGGTGCGGACAATACTTACTACTTTTTGCACTTTTGCGGGCGTTGGGCGGTTTTCGTAGTGTACCAAAATTCCGAATGTGAATCCATATGCCCGAGGAGGTCTAATATACTCCATTGAGCTCATTCTTTGAAAGAAGGTTCTGATATGTCTTGCGTCTCGCTCTCGTCCTGATCATTGTGACGCGAATTCACCATGCGAGACCTACTCAGTAAGTGGAAGAAATGTGGCGCCTAACTGTGCTGACGACGCATGGGGACCGAGGCACACCCATCACGACTGGCGACCCCGGCGCTCAAGTGGCAGTTCGCCCGCCGGTCCTGCGTCGAGACTTTCCTTTTCTCGCTTACAGTAGCAACCTCGAGGCCGATGTCGAACTGTCGCAAGTCTGTATCTCCTCGGATATCATATATATCGGAAAATCTCAGCGCCATATGTGTGCATGTGTATGGGAATGAGCTGGGCATGACTGGTGAGAGTCCCGATGGTCAGAGCGAAGAATCTATTCGTAGTACCTTGAAATTTTATCTATAAAATTCAACCTCGTGAGCTTTAACACCAGATATGTCATATCATACCAAATCAAGACTCTGAACATATACCAAAGGATAGGATTGCTATAGCTTTGCTTTCTCTTTCTTCTCAAGGTACCTGGCAGCATACTCAATAGCCGCTTCATATCCAAACACACCCAGTCCGCAAATCACCGCCTCTGCCTTGTCACTCAGGTAGCTATGATGTCGGAAAGCTTCTCTCTTATGAATGTTGCTAATGTGAACTTCCACAAACGGCATATCTACACCGCTCAAGGCATCCCGCAGTGCCACGCTAGTGTGCGTAAAAGCTCCGGGATTGATCACGACAAAGTCGATATGGCCACGCGCCTCGTGTATGCGGTCTACTAATACGCCTTCATGGTTGGATTGAACATGTGAGAATTGCAGAGTGAGCTTGGCACATTGTTCTGTAGCAGAGGAGATGACGTCCGAGAGAGTAGTGGATCCATAGATTGCGGGTTCGCGCGTGCCTAGAAGATTGAGATTTGGGCCATTAACTAAGAGTATAGATTTTGTCCTTGACATGTTTACAGGCTGATTCCAGGGTTATTTGCACTCAAATGCTTTGCGTACTGTCGTGTAGGAGAATCGTTGAAGTTGCGTGTGGCATCTCGACCTTGACGTTAGTGTCAACGCTCGTTCCGAGGTTCGGATCGATGTCGGAATCGGAAAAGGACTTACCCATAGGATTGCGATCGGCCGTGTTTCCCCTACTTCGAAGCCGTGATGCATGAGCTCCTATGCATAGCATCTGTAAGCCGGTCCACCGCGGTTAGCCGGTACGGCTTTAGACGGTAGGAAACTAGCGGCGCAATCGGTCTCGATGTATGTGTGCCACCGCAGCACAATACCCTTTCGTCGTTCACGAGCAGCTCTTGCCTACACACGAAAGAGATAGTTACCATGACTGAACTGTCGAGGGCAGAGCTAGACGGGATCTATGCGTTTGCGGTGGAGCTGGGGAAGCAGGCGGGCAAGATGCTCATGGATGCCGCCCAAGGGAGGATCAATGCCGAAAACGCGTCTACAGAAGAAAAAGAACACACACAAAAAGAAAATGAAGTAGACCTAGTAACCGAAACCGACAAAAACGTGGAATTATTCATCAAAAACAAAATCAAAGAAAGATATCCCTCCCACAAGTACGTTTCCGCATCTCTTTTGCCCAGACGCCACAATCAAACCATTAATCATCCAAAGCTTCATCGGCGAAGAATCCTACTGCGCAACCTCCTCCCGCAACTACCTAATCGACAACGCACCAACATGGTGTGTCGACCCCCTCGACGGAACTGTGAACTACATCCACCTCTTTCCCACCTTTTGCGTCAGCATCGCCTTCCTGCACAACGGCAAGCCCCTCATCGGCGTCATACACGCTCCCTTCATAAACCAGCTCTTCACCTCCTGCGCCGGTCGCGGTGCCTTCTTAAACGAATCCATGCGACTCCCTCTAATCCAGAAACCCAGTGTACCACCCATGCCTGCCTCTGCGCCAGCCGGATGCGTATTCGCGTGCGAGTGGGGCAAGGATAGACGCGATTTTCCCGACGGGAATATGTATCGCAAGGTTGAGAGTTTCCTCAATATGGCGGCGGAACTGGGGGGCAGGGACGGCAAGGGTGGCATGGTGCATGGTGTTAGGAGTTTGGGGAGCGCGACACTGGATTTGGCATACGTGGCTATGGGTGCTGTGGATATTTGGTGGGAGGGTGGGTGCTGGGAGTGGGATGTTGCGGCGGGTATTGCAATTTTACAGGAGGCGAATGGACTGGTTACTACGGCAAATCCGCCTGAGGATTGGGCGCACGCGCCAATTGAGGAAGTGAGGTTGGGGAGCCGGTTGTATTTGGCTATTCGGTGAGTCTTGCTCTTTATTTGTCCCAGAATTGTATGGGGTATGTGGAAGTGATGTGTCGTGGAAAAGTGCTGACTTTGGGATTTTTAGGCCCGCGGGACCATCCGCCACGGAGACGGGACGTGAGAGTCAGGAAAGAACTGTGCGGGAGGTTTGGAGAAGAGTACGCAACCTAGACTACTCGCGACCAGGAGCATAGAAAGTTCCACGAATGATTATGGCGTATAGATCAAAGCAGTCTTCACATGCAATTAAATTACATATCATCGTCTACAATCTTGTTCCACTCAGCTTCCCTGCTATAACCTCATGCACCTTGTCCATCAGCAACTCACTCACATCATTTGTTGTCTAGCAATCTCCCTGTTGCAAGCTCCAATAAACCAACACCCCAGCCTTTATTATCATCTGCCACTTTTGCTGCTGTTCTAATCTTAATGATTCAACACCAACGTCAAGTTTTCTAGAATAGGTGTAATTTTTGTTAAATATATACAAATCCCTTACAAGAAACTAATTACAGCAAGTTTTAAGACGTGCAGCGTGCGCGCTGTGGAGCTATAAGCTATAAGAGCAGATAGTTAGGACACGTCTCACACTCAAAACAAAAACACACACACACACACCAACTTTTAAGCAGAAATCTTTCATCAAAACTCGTCAATTTTCTATCAGATATAGGGGTAACACGTCGCGAGAAACCGATTTACGCCACCTCTAATGTGTGCAGCCCTCTCGTTGAGGTGCTAGAGGGGGTATTGTCGGTATTCTTGCGACGTGTTCGAAATGCGAAAATCTTCGAGAACGCACAGACCGCCCTGATGACTAATAGGGAGACTACTAAACGAAACTAAAAACAATTAAAAACACTAAATAAAACAACAAAAATCAAAAATCCTATATCTAAACGCCGAGACAGCCTGATCCCGCTGTGGCACCATATCCAACCGCCAGGACAGTCTTTGCCTACTGTGGCACAAAATTCAAAAACGCTATAACAGTTTTCTGGTCTGTAATAG